TGAAAATGTTATTTAAGTTTTATAATAAACAGTTGAAGTTTATTTAAATATCTCATTGACATGATGTTCATTAGGTTGTATTAGAAGATATCAGAGCACAATGTAATCCTTATTAAAAGCCAGATTAACAGAAGGGTTGGTATACGAACAGCTTATCTATTCAGGGTCATTAATATGGTTATGAAAAAGGTATAATGTTCGAAAGCTCGTATATACTGACAAAGCAAATCATTTAACAAGTATATTTTTATGTACTAACCTTTCAGTTATCCTTCTTTCATGAGGACTAGTAATACTAATGGATTGTCTAAATTGATTTAAGTGCGATGGGATTCAAACCAATTGAAATGCTCCGAATGCTTGATATACGCTAATAAGTAACTTCGCTTCAAGCAAATCGTTTAACTAAATAGCTTCCGTTGTCATCATTCACTAATCACTAACGTTGAGAATTATTGAAATATTTTCAATATCAACGGAATAATTGATAGAAAAATTAGTTTTACTTAAACGATATGATGAATTAATTATGTTAAAATGATTACCTTTCACCTTGACTTTATCATTGCTCAAAGTTGTTATGCATTGATGTAGAATATGACTTATAGTTACAATGATTTGCATTCAACTACATTATACTGTTGTGTATTTAGCATAGCTTGACCTTCATCTCTGAATTGTTTTAATCAAACAACACAGTTTGTACTATAATAAATTATGAATAAATTGTTATTATTGTGGTTTTTAAGACGATAATTCAAATGATAATTACGATAACTAGTACAAAATGAAGATGCTGTTCATCCGTAGGCTACACGATGCAGGATTAAAAATCTATCGAGAAAGTGGCTTGTAGACAACTATTATCGAACTCACTACTGGTCAAATTGTATAATACGATTAGCACATTAAGAGCTAAAGAATTGTATCACTGATAAATATTTAGTGAATTATAAGGGCACATAACTCTGTTCCATAGAACATTAGTTAAATCTAGAATGGGTGAGTGATCACATTGACTACTACTTATTAGTGAAATTCGAATCCCACCGGGATTATCATTTACGTCAAGAATGTAGACACATCTTTCTGATGAGTTCCAACTAAAGCTAGATTTGAGCCTCCTAAGTATTATCTTCTATCACCCGACATGAAGATAATATCCTTTACTTCCTATATTGTATTAACATCATCAGTACAAACTGATAGCTTAGTGGTAATAGTTAGTGATTGAAATACTAAGTGAACTGTGTTTATTATAACTCCGCCTGTAGAACCTTCAGGGCTACTGCCGATCCCAAGCCCAGATAAAGGAGGAGGGTTGGACATGGGGTTGGCGACCCCATCCCACCAAAAAACTAACTTGCCAAAAAAACGCTAAGCAGAAAAAATAATTCAAACCATTTTAACTCTGCCCTGGGAGTTGGAAGAAGAATTATGACGTCTCGTGATGAAGGCAGAGTTCCCTCGAAAGTCACGGAGCCGATACCTCTTCTGACAACCAGAGCAACCGTTCTTTTAGATACATGGAACGTCCGAACATTGTGGGAGACTGGAAGACTATTTCAAGCTGCTGCAGAAATGAGAAGATACAACCTCCAGGTGCTCGGCATCAGTGAAACGCATTGCACGCAGGTGAGACAATTGAGACTAGCTTCAGGAGAACTGCTGTAATACTCTGGTCATGAAGAGGAAAATGCTTCACATTCACAAGGAGTTGCACTGATACTGTCCAGACAAGCACAAAAAGCATTGATATGATGGGAATCTCATGGACATAGGATCATTAAAGCTTCGCTCTCTTGAACAAAGTTTGTATGCAGAAGCGAAATCAAGCACAGAAACAAATAAAGGCATCATCCTACTATACATCAAAGACATATCGGAGCATACAGCACGAATACTGAAACCATTTGGAATAGGTGTGGCACACAAACCAACAGAATCACTTCAATCTATCCTATGTAGACCAAAGGACAAAATGACAAAGGAAGAAAAACCAAATATCATCTACAAAATAAATTGCTCAAACTGTGAAAAACACTACATAGGACAAAGTGGACGACCTCTTCAGCTCCGTTTACGTGAACATCAATTAGCAGTCAAACGCCACGACAACGCTTCGCTTATATCAATACATACCAGCAATTATGGACACACATTTGTTTGAAACAATGTGGAAATACTGGGTAGGGGGAGGACAAAGAACACTGGAGAATTTTTAGAAGCTTGGCATTCAGGCCAATCAGCAATCAACAAACACATCGACATTGACTCAATTTATCAACCAATCAGAAAAACCATAGGTGACACAGGATCAAGAAACAGATCAAAAGGGGGGTGCTACCAAAAAAAGTTGCAAACAACGACAGGTCAAAAGACAACAGCAACCAATCAAGATCGAGGTAAGCAGACTACAGGTCGAACGTGGAGAAATTCGAATGCTTCACTTCTATCTGAAGTTTGTGCTGATGATGTTGTTCAGAAGAACAATGAAAGCTCCACAACCAAAACAACCAGCTCAGAGAACGAAACACCACCACAATCATCCACCTGAGCTACAAGTTTTCTCCACCATCTCAAAAACATAATTGTAAATATTGCCGTATATTCTTAATAAATCATATTGTTGAAAAGAAACTTTTCTTTAGTAAAGGGGATTCGTGGTGACTGAATTTTTTTCACAGTTAAATTCATGAACTGATCGTAGCTAGACCACCGCTGGAAACCTGCATGCACTGGGCGGCCATTTCGTTTTAGTATGAGATTCATCAGCTAAGATCAGTTCATGATTTTTACTGTGAAAATTTTATTCACTGAATTATCTTCATTCTTTTAAATGAATAGTTGGGTGTCTCCTGTTGTAATGAATAAAAACGTTAAGACCAGATAGAGTAAGCGATTAATTGGAAGAAGACACAGTTTACTAGCACATTTTATCTTGAAACTTTATTTGCAAAACAAGAAAATCTTGGCTATCTTCTTTCATATGTCTTCTAGTTTTCGAGGCGATTCAATTGCATCGTACATCCAGATCCGACAGTCTTCATTTTGGCAGTAATTTTCGGGCGATACTCAGCAATATACTATTATAAGTCATGTTGCGAGTAGTATTCATCACACTGTTATTATGTTGCTTAATTATTTTGAAATACATATATATTCAGAAAATATTAGAATGTGCAAGTTTGAGAACATATTAAGCTTTAGATTTTCTACTGAATATCATCAACATCATTGTACATATGACTAGTCTTATGGAACACCTGTTGACATTATAAGAGTCATTCTTTTCTATTAAATACCGACTGAATATAATGAATATGTATATCTTTTATTTGAAAATATGAGAGAAAGCAGATATAAAATGAGATAATGAGTCAACCAACAAATAAAATTAGTGTAAAGTAAACATTACTAAACTAGTTTGAAAAACTATTTTATATCACGTGAAATCGTGAAGTAAGTAGGCAATAATAGCAGTATTGATTCCTCCTATCTGTGCATTTACATAACAATAAGTAAGTAAATCAACCAAAGACTAGTCAGGCGTAAAAACTGTTGCGCTTTTGACCGTCGTTCGAGAGATGAAGCATAATTACGCGGTTGCTTACCAGCTTATTATATCTATAACGTAAGTTAGATGCCTATTTATCCATCAGAGTGATTTTACAATGCAACAGTCGACTTTGTATTACTCTACAACTGTAAGACAGGGCCCATAAAAGTAGAATACATGTGTAGGCTACATTGTTGTCTGACAGTAGTGGAACCTCCATATGAGTGGTGTTCAGGTTTAATGTAATGTTTTAAGTAGAAGTGTTAGGTCGATTGATGAATCCGTAGATATTCATCATTCAGTCACTTGAGAATTGTAACCTAACTACTACCCATCCAGATCTAATGCTGACGGGTATAAGATTAGTTAAGAAGAACGGTGGAAGCATCTAAATGAAAACTTATCATCAATTCATAAAGTTACTGACTGGAGAGATAAGAATTATGATAATATGTTAACTTCGCAGCTGGGTCCTGATCAGTAGTCCTTACCTATGGTTGTAGTCTTTGTCCTCTATTATATTTCAAACCTACTGAGGTTGCATATATTACATTCATTCATTCCTAATACTTTTCAATTAAAAGTTTCTTATTTTCCCACTAAAATTCACTTCAATGCTTTTTATTTTATGTATTAATTTCTTGTTGGTGTTCTGATTATGTGTGGACACTTTAACCTATGCACATGTTTATGGTAGAGGTTCTCTATGTTATTCATAACTGACATGATCGTTTACAAGATCTACCAGTTTTTAAATTAACAACAACTAGTTAATAAATACACATTAGTGTCAACTGAAGATGAAAAAATAAAATTAACTGTTTTAGTGTAAATCACTTTTGTAGGATGAAAATAAAAACGAAATCATAAAGAAACTATTAGAACAATGAATTATTAGTATGTTATTAACAGAATAAATATTCTAAAAATAACAAAGATTCTATTATTATCAATTCTTAATCACATGGTTAGATTGAATTTATTCATGATCATGTCATCAGTTTTGACAAGTAATTAGAATAAAATGCATAGTATTCAGTAGGTCACATTCGTTTCATTTAACTAGAACAAAATTTACAATACATGTTCTGTAGCTTTATTTACTACACAATGTAAATTGCAGCTAAATATTCTTATAATAACTCAGTCAATGTTATTTTTGGTATTTCAGTCTATTTCTTAGTATTATCATCAAAACCAATGAGTGTTTATCACAATTGGATATTAGTAATTGTACTTACATATCATAAGTATACACATTTGTCTGATATGTGTAGCATACATCGATCGATTTTTGTCAATGACACATCCCATCATAGATAGCTTTAATTCCACACAAAATAGTATTGATTATTTTAAATTACTAATATAACAAATAGTTATTTTAGTCGAAATATTTACTCTGAATCTTTATTTGTTACGATTAGGTTGGTTAAAAATCATGGAGAACATAGAATCGGATGAAGCAAAGTCATGCTTGAACAATTCTACCCTTTTAACAAATGATATAAGAACCATTATTAAAAAAGAAGAAAACGAATGCGATATTGATAGTACTAACTGTCTAAATCCGGAAATAACGCTTGGCAGCTCCGTAAGTATACCTAAGCTTATTAATACCCTGTCATCTATATGCAAAAAGAATGTCAGTGGTGGTAGTTCGATTGATTCTCCAACACTTATAAAGAATGATGAATTTTCTCAAATCACGAAACAAGATACTATGGTATTTAAAATATATGGTAAACTAAAGTCAGTTCAGCTATCTCCACACTTAATTTCCAATCAGAAGACTGTTGAGAGGAAAGAGTATTCCGAGAGAGAGATTACTTACAATGTAAGGGTTACTTTTGTGATTTTATTTTTTTCTCTTTTACTTATTACAATAGCTGTTATTGCGCAGACTAGTTGATGAATACCTTGACAGAAAAGTCACTTATTCACACCAACCAAAGTATATACTAGGTATTCTGAAATGTGTACTGGGGAGAAACTTCCCCGAATTCAGCAATTCGTTTCATCGTGAAAGAATATGTGCTTACTTGAAAGCATGTAGACGTAAAGTTAAAAGAAAGAATGGTGAACCGTACGTGAGAGTGAGTGCACGTTATCTGAGTTCCGGAAGGGCATCCACTTTGGCTGAAACAATTTACATGAAAGAGTACAATTATTTAACCAGTATGATTTCGGTGAGTAATTGTCTGCAGAAATGATTAACGAGGATTTTAGAATCCAAAAAACAATCATTTTACTGAGCAAGCAACACCAACCTCTGCTTGTTGTGAGACCACTAAAAACGAGATTCAAAACCCAAGCAATCTGATTCATCACCAACCACAACAGTTCTATGAATCTCATCTCCAACAGGTTGACTCACAAAAAACCTCCAACATGATGAGTTGTAACGATAATTATATGAAGATTAACAACAATTATGATAACTCTGAAGCTCTTAATGAAGAGATTTCTACTTCATCGAATCCTATTTCTCAACAAGTGAGTGAACTTATGGATATGTACCAATTTTATTGTTTTATAGCATGCAGATGGAAATGCATTTGTGAAACTGTTAGAGCAAACAGCTGGATTTCTTCTACTAATGGCCGACTGTCTAGATGCTGGTCAAGGAATGTTTACCTCTAATAAACTTTATGATGTCAAGCCATAAAGTGAGATATTTATATACACCATTTGTTCATAATAGTCGTATTCTGTTTTGAAATGTTTGCTTGTAAGCGAATAATTTATTACTGTTGTTGTTGATTCAAGTGTTAAAACTCGGAATAATGTAACAGATTTCAGTCAGTTAAGAGCATAGTTAGCTTGGAGCTTATATCGAGTCAAATATAATGTAATAGTGAAGGTATTCAAAAAGACTAAACATAGAGAATAGGCTTTAAAGAGACGGAATGCAAAACCTTGTATAACGGAATCCTGGAAGTCAAGATCTAGAAGAAGACAAAGCGTGAATGTAAACAGGGTAAACTCCACTTTGATTGTAAACTATATCCTTCAACGTATGTAACATATTTACTATGTGAAGGTTTCTCACTTGGATTTTGTGAATTCTAGTGAAACTAGTCAGAAGTCTAAACAGAAGCAGGTGAATCTTGAAGCGAATCTGTGACGAAATGAATAAAAGTCAAATTAATTTGACTCCTCAATAACTATCGAAACTTAGCAGGAATAGTATTGGTGTTATAAGATATGATTGTAGTTGCAGTATTAGAATCAGATATTTGTTTTAAACTCTTAAGTCAGCTGATGTAACATTCAAATCATGACTTGTTTTGCGTTTTATCGATCACTCAAAAATAAACAATTGTGGGATTTAATTTGTCCTACAGATGTAATTCTAAAACGTAAACGCAAATACCGCCGTTGACAGAAGACAGAAGACAATTCGGTTTTAAACTTTATCTGTTTCTTATAGCGTGTCTTTAGAAAATGAATAAAAAACATGAGTCACAGCAATATAAGTAAAATAATAACATCCTTCAATCGATAGACCATTCACAACAAAGAAAGTTTATAGATCAGTCAGACTAGATGACGTGGTGAGCGCTTAACCAATCTGATTGGTTAGTTATGACATAGCTACAATTAGTTATAAAATAACCAACACTCCCCCCGAAGCGGTCACCACGTCCAGACCTCGTTGCCGTCGCGCTCGAAATAATCGACCTCTTCCAGTAGGCATAGGTTTCGTATATCTCGGTCGATCTCTACGGTATCTGTCTTCCATTGAATCGTTCTGACTCGGCAATCGGGACCATAACTGACTTCTCTAACTATAGCTTTCACCCAAGGATTTCTCAGCAAACCGGTATTGTTTACTAACAGTGAGTCTCCATGTTGTGGATTCCTTCTCGTTGACTTTATAATATGTTTCCATATACCGCCTCCGGGATCAAAGATTAATGCTATAAACGACAAAATATTCCTTCTGGTTAGGTTTCCAGGAAACTCGTGAACTCAGAGAAATGATTCATCCGCTCGGATATTCTGCTCTACTCCCAGCGTTCCTTTACACATCTCGTTGGATCCGCATAGGGTAATGTTTCCCTTTATTTTATCACTTTTCTGGCAAAATGAATTCGATGATACCGGTGGGGATGCTACTGTAGAATCCGCTGCATAATTTTCGGTTCTTATAGAGTTATGTTGTGAATTAAGACCACGTCTGTTCTGATGGTTTGACCTGATGGTGTGTGTTTGACTCAAAACAGATACAGAACTGTCGAATCCATATGGACATGTGTCGTTCTCTTCGACAGCTTTTCTTTTCAATTCACGACGTCTTCGACAGGCTTCGTGAAACTGGAAAACACTCTTATCACAAACCATCCCATCCTGTTTGATGATTCCATCAAATAATGTTGGAAGAAGAGTCTTTTTCTCTTCTAAGACAGAGAAACCACTTGTACTTACATGAGTAGGACGTGACAGATAGCGATGTGTTTCAGGATCCGAAGTGCGGTCTAATGACTTGCTTTCTGACACATTTGTCCTTATTCTTTTAGCTTGAGATGTTCCCGATGCAGAATCATTGCTACTACTACATGAATACTGCAGATCAAATTTACTAGGGATTTTATTTGTGGATAGTGTACCTTGCTCTTTACAGAATTTTAAGACATAATCGATTTCGTACTGAGTTGCTTTGCATAACCTGCTGACGGGTGTCCATTCTACAACGCGATCCCAAATACAAGGTAGGCGATACTCTGCTCTTGTACCATGTCGCTGACGATGGGCTAGAACCTCAGCAAAATATTGGAAGTCGTTGTGCCATGCAGCCACCTCATTAATTGCACCCATTCTCAAAGTTCGTGAGTCAACTAGAGCAGCAGGCATTTGTAACCAACTGAGAGTATTAATCAACAGTCTGCCTTCATACACTAAACGTACTACTATCCGTGACCTGCAGAGATATTCGTTATTCTTTTCAGCACTGTTGTTGTGTATATCATTTAACTGGAAATGAAAAGGTCCAAGATTATTACACCTCTGTTTATTAGCATCGGAATTATGAGCTCGGCAATGCTGTCGAATAACTGGCATTTCTCTTTCACTCGCAACTAGGTCGACTTCCGCTAAAGTTGACGTTTCTTTCCGTTTATCATCAACTACTTCCTTAGCAGAATCTTCTAGATTTTTCGAATCCTTACAGTCTGTGTGAGAAGCTGTAACAACTTTAGTCAATGTAGTAAAGGGACACGAAGCAGAATCATGACCTGTAGATGATGCTGTCCATAAATTAACCGAAGCATCTTTCGACACATCAGCGTTGACAACGCTTGATGAAATATTTGATCCGAGAACACAATCAGATGGAATGTCTTTCTTAGCTATAGCAGGACTTGATAGAACGATAGGTGACTTAGCTAATTCTTTCGATGCTTCGAGTGATGCAACATAAGCTCCTGTGAGAGAAGCAGGATGATTAGAAAGAGAACTAGAAAAATCCTGATCTGTCGATTTAGTCTGAGGAAGGTTTATTCCATACAGGTTTATCGCAATTTCATCACGTTCATTTAACCTTTGCACTGTGCTTGATATAGCGTTGAATGCTCTACGATCTTCCATAGACATAAACGGGTCTTTCGATTCAGTTGAGTACAACTGCTCAAACTTATCTTCCAGTTCCTCCTTAGCCGAGGTGATTAAGTGCACGGTTGTTATCAATGAATTCCCCGTAAGGACCGAACAACGTCCAAACCAATAAGGTCCTCACGGCAGACGGCTCATCTATCTTTCCAGTTCTCATCTCCTTCGTCTCGTGTACTCTCGGTACATTACACCCGATCAACAGTTTAACATCCTCATCTTCTACTCTCGGGAAACTTACGTCCTTTAAATAGGACCAGGATGCCATTTGACGCGCCGTTGGTACAGTTCTGTGAACTGCCGGTAGTTTTCTGACTGTCAATACCTTCTGGATCTTAACAGATGAGAAGTCTATAGCGTGCAACTCTACATCCACCTCTTTAGATACCAATGACGATTCGTTATTTATAGTCTTTAAAGACACTGTTCTCGGCTTTCCCTCGAGGCCTAAATTATCAGCTAGATCTTCTACTATTAGAGAGGTGTCTGACCCACTATCTAGAAAGGCGCACGTCTGCATAATTCTCTCACCGTTTTTTATCCACACAGGAACTACTGCAAATGCCACAGGTCTCTGTATGCCCTTAACATCTTCCTCTGTACAAATCTGAGAATTAATGCAGGCATCACTAATAATATCTCTTCGTTCTTCCCGCTTCTCATGTAACAGAGTATGATGTCTCCAGCCACATCCCTCAACAATACACGACCTTGGCGATCGACAATTCTTTGCTATATGGTTTGGTTTCAGACAATTATTACATAATTTATGCTTAAGGACGAATTCTCTCCTTTCTTTAACATTCTTGTTTTTAAACTTCTGGCACTGATCTAAAAGGTGATTGCTTGAGCAATCTGGACGAGGTGAATTATATAAGGAAGTATTGCTGTCATTAATGCTTGCGTGTGCTACCGTCGCTATGTTGTAACTTGCGGTAGCTTTCCCTTTTAAAGCACCAAAACCTCCTTTGTCAACATTATCGCTGCGGTTGGCAAGCAGGCCGTATCTAGTGTTAGCTATATCCGACTGTTCTTTAACAAATACACAGAGGTCATTGAATGAAGGCTCTCTACCCGTCTTGAGAATTCGACATGCTACTTTAACCCATTCTCTCTGTAGGTGTGGTGGAAGTTTTAAAAACATGCTTTCGATGGTTTTCGTAGAATTAAGATCGGACAGGTAGTTCATTTGTGTGAGCGTAAGCTCACAGATATACATCTCACGAGCTAGCCTTCTTAAACTATTTGAGTCGGTCTCTTTAATAGCAGGGAAGTTCAACATCTTGTCGATAAATGCACGGGCAACTACGTGTTTCTGACCGAATGCTTCCTCAAGAAGCTCTAACGCTTTACGATAACCTTCTTCCGGTTGAAGCAATGTACAATGAACTATGGTAGCTTTAGCTTCACCATCACAATATTGAATCAAGTAGTTTAACTTAGATCGAGGTCCGACGCTTTCATCAAAACAATCCTCGAAATTTCGTATGAAACTCCAGTAGTTCATAGGATTACCATCGAACCTTATGATTTCTCGCTTGGGTAGATCTAAAGCTTTGGATATCATTCCTATCCAGCCCTTTCCTGCACTATCAGCTGTACGCGAAACGGATGTAGATTCGAACGACATAAACTTTTCATCCTGAATTTGGTTACAATATTCTTTTCCTCTTTGCCGTAGTCGTTCTAACTCAATTTCCTTTTCTAGATGAGCTAAACTTACTTTAGCTAATTCTAATTCCAACATAGGATCCGTTCGGAGGCTATTTCTTCCAAACTGATCTTCACTATGAGTTTCTGAATAGTGTGGAGACAATTCAGGAATCTGATCACTCTTATGATCCTCGGTAGACATTTGAAGATATTCAGTATATGAACCTTTGATGAATTACTGTCTGAAACTATGTAGGATTTAATTTGTCCTACAGATGTAATTCTAAAACGTAAACGCAAATACCGCCGTTGACAGAAGACAATTCGGTTTTAAACTTTATCTGTTTCTAAACAAAAAGAAACGATTAAATTAGTACAATAAATAAGGAAATTACAATTATCAAG